CTGCTGCCCGCGATGCTGCGGCCACTCTGCTCGCTGCCGCTCCCCGGCTACCCGTGCCTCACCACTGCGGCCGCCAGCCCAACCCCTGCTGCAGGGCATCGTGCCCTTTGTGGCTGTTGACTGCGACAAGGAGGCCAACCGCCCGCTGTGCGGCCAGTACGGCGTGCAGGTGGGTGCTGGCTGGGTGCTGCTGGGGGTGGAAAGCATGTGGGTGCAGCCTGCCCTGCTGCCATGCCCTGCTCGCCGCCTGCTTGCAGCAATGGCCGGGCGACCCTGGCCACCCCTCCCTGCAGCCAGCGGCGCCCTCTCCCCTGCATTTCCAGATGTGACGCCTCTGCTTTGCACTGCCGCGTGTACCGCTGCCTGTACCGCCGCCTGTACCACAGGGCTTCCCCACCATCAAGCTCTTCTCTCCCAGGGACAAGGGCGCCCCATCTGCGACTGACTACCAGGGGGAGCGATCAGCCAAGGGCCTGGCAGACGCCGCACTGGGTGCGCCGCCTGCAGGCTGCTGCCCCTGGCCGCCTGGCTGCTGCCTGCTTCGTGTTGAGCAGCAGCGGCGCCGCCACATCTACGCTGCAACCTGGCCTCGCTGGCGGCTTGCCTCTGCCGCTTGACTCTGGGCATTGTCCCTGGCTATGTACCGAGCAGGCCTGCTGACCACCAAGCACGTGAAGCGCATCAAGAGCGCGGCAGAGGCCGCCGCCTTTACCGCCACGCCCGGCACCAAGGCGAGCTGCCGGGCGGCCAACGGGGCAGCAGGCCCAGAGCGCCTCACCTGGCCGCCGCCTGCTCTTGCCGGCTGGCAGCATCCGAGGCGGGGCGGGCTGGCTTGGGCCGGGCAGCCGCTTCAACCCACCTCCTCGCTGTGCGCTCTGCCACGCCGACCCTTCCTTACTATGTGTGTCGCCTCCCTGTGTTTGCCCCTGCCTTCGGTCCACCCCAAATCCTTGCAGGTGGTGCTGGTGACAGACAAGGCGGACACGCCAGCCATGCTCAAGTCGTTCAGCCAGCGCTTTGCGGCCCAGGGCCTGGCCTTTGCCAAGGTGCAGGCGGCGGCGGCGGGCGACGGCGGCGCGGCGGCGGTGCTGGCGTCGCTGGGCGGGGTGGTGGACTCGGTGCCTGTGCTGGTGGCCCTGGGGCCCGATGGCAGCCGCACGGTGTATGCAGGTACCTGGGGTGGTTGTGTGGGTATGAGGGGCGGGGTGAACAACAGGCCTGCGTTTAGTGCCCGTGCTGTGGCCTGCTGTGCTGTGCTGTGCTCCGCGCCATGCCGAGGAGGGCCGTGCTGCGACTGTGGTTGCGCGCTGCTGCGCTGCGCAGGCCAGACCAAGGCGCCCCAAATCCTGGACTGG